TGGTAGGTTTATTTGCACTTCTAAAAGGATTTTTAAGTTGAATGTTAAGAGATGGTTTTGTTCTGTTTCTTTTGGTAGGTTCTTTTTGTTTGTTTATTGTTGTAGGTTGGGGTTTTTTTAAGCCTTGGCCATACTCACCACAAATTATAAAAAAAACCTACCATTAAAATAAATCCCTTAATAATTACTGCTTTACAACAGACTGGTCCCTGTAGTTGAACTGTTACTTAATGTGCTTCAACCAGCCTCTACTATAAAGGAATGGAGACACCCCAGGCAATATTCACACAACAAGTATTGGAACCAGCTGCTGCAGAGCCACCTTAGGAAAAAAAGGTTTCTCAATTTAATTGGAAAACAGGAGGAAGCATAAATTTTACTGCCATTAATAACTTCAAGCAATCCCAATATGACTTTACCTCACCCTGATGGCTGGACATGTGCTTTTTGTTAGGGTCTTTGCCACATCTGACCCCTATTGTTTGCTCACTTGATCAGGTAAGAAAATGTATGTTTCTTTATAGGATAAACGAGGCCTATTAAAGCCAGAAAAAAATACTGCAGTAGCCTATAAGAAGCTCCATTTTTCAACAGATGTGTGAAGCTCCATAATAAGTTCATTACAAAAAGGCCAAGTGAACTCATAAAGAGAACACATCTACTTTAAGCCTTCTTAAAAGAAACTTTCATAAAAGGAATAGAACGTTAAAAACCCACAGCACTCCGTTAATTAGACAGCAAAGTACTTCTTGGGTTTTTAAACAGCAGTCAACATATAATCCATCTTGGCTGCATACCATATCAAGACTTGATTGTTAAGAAACCTAACATACAACTGTTTTGCAATTCTTTGATTGCTCATTAAACTTAACTTGTAAAGAATTGAAAAAATATCAGAGGAATTTCAGCAGTTTCCAGAAGAGATTTTATATAATAAAACTCTCAAAAATCCTATCAATCCAATCAAGACAGACTCTTCAGTGGGGACTAAATCAGACTGTCAAAGTTACCCTGTGCTCTGGCCATCTCCATCATAAATAAATAAATTCATAATAGAAAAATCTGACCTGCTTAAGTTTTCAAACTGCTGCACAGAGTTTAGACTTCTGCATAAGATCTGGTGGCTACTACTACTCTGTGTGCTGTTACTAAGTCCCGAAACATCAATAAACTAAGAACATCAGGCCAGGATGCTCACGGGAATAAGGCATATAGTCTCAATGCATACTGTGATGGCAAAACTATACTGTTGCTACTTGGGACTGATCACACTGCATTTCAGAGTGTTGTATAGCAAACACTTATCGGCTTGGCTGAATCTCCAAAGCCATTTTTCTTTCAGTCACTGTAACCTGTACTAGAAAACATAACCCAAGATGTTCATCACCACCTTAAATATCCGAGATTGAACACCTTGGCACTGTGTAACACTTTCATAGCAATATGCACAACACTGGCACTCCATGTCCCATTTAGGCCCAATTTGCAACTGGTACTGTTCTGTGACTCACTCATTTTTCATCTCACCAATACCTGTGTTCAATCAGCTCTTGATTTTTAAAAGCATCTAGCAATTTCAAGCAACCGAGAAGAGACACTTTAGTCTGACTTTCAAGCATAATGGGTTTTCACTCTTTATGCATGGCTTGCACTGGGAAATGTCAAGAAAAAGGCATTTCAAGACAATATGCATTCAGTACACCTAAGAACTGTCCAGGGATGAATGCACACACCTTAGAAAAAAACGTTTCCTTCCCAATGCAGCCAGACCCACTCCTTTTACCCTTTGAGCAGCAACACAGTGCCCACTGTAACAGCTTTTGTACCATTCCCTATCATTTATATCCTTTTGAGAGAAATAACTAATTCATGGGTTAGTTAGAAGCCCCAGTACTGCCTGCCACACCTGTATACTGCCAGGAGCTCCTGAACAGTGGTCCACCAAGAAGAGTTTGCAGTCTGCCATAACACACACCAGCACTCAGCTGGTTCTACTCTACAAACTGCCTGCTGTTCTCATGGAGAACTATTTATCTCGCTTCACAAAGGCTAAGAAACCACTCAGATGCAGCACAAAATAGCACCCTTATTAGAAGAATGTGAATCACAAGCTGTGCTTATATTTGAGAGCGCTGTATTAATGACTTTTGTATTTGGTTTGGTCAGTTAACTGAAAAATAAAGTGGATTTGGTCCAAACAAGAAGTGAGGCTTTTTTATTCTTCCTTGTAGACAATGTTTTCTTCTGTTTGCTGCCAAGGCATTTACTTTAGAAACCAATCACACATCCAGAGGAAGAATTACGAAAAAGGGTAGCACTTCCCTTCTGTCCAACAATGGAAGAGCATTCCCAGGGATAAAGGAAGGATGTGAATCTGTTTTCTTCAAGCTCAGATCTACACTCACCCCTTTAAGTGAGAATACGTTCCACAAGCAAATATACTAACCACCAAACTGCACTGTATTTGGAGCAAGTCACTCCTCTACTCCACTCCACTTGAATTGCGCCATTCAAAGCAAAATGGGAGCACTCTAAGAGTGAAGCAAACCTCTGCAGAATAGTCTATAGCATGCTGCTTTGGATTCTCCTTCTGAGGTGATAACGAATCTGTTTTCCACATTTCAGGCAAACATCTAGTTTAAAGCACCTGGTGAATTCACATGATTTTTCACCTTAATCCACTGAAACCATACTTCACGTACTGCACATAAAGCATACACACAGAGAATATATATAAAAAAAAAAGATTACTCTAAATATAATTTCTAAGTATTAAAGCAAAGCCACCAGTACAGAAAACGTTCTCCACAAGACCCTGGTGACTCAACAATTACAAGGTTTTCTTCAAGAACTGAAGTCATACAAATCAAACGTCTTCAATCAGCTTGTGTATGGAAAAACCTGAATACAGCAGGCTATATCTCCTAGGCCCCAACAATTCTGCCCCAGCTTCTGATCTCAAGTCTGAAGGCAAATTTCCCTCAACTGCACCCAGTTCTTTGAGATTCAGAGCATAACAAAGATCAGCTGTAGTTGATTAACTTGGGTGCCTGGAGGGAGCAAGAGGAGTCTTGTCATATACAATACTTCAGACTTGTGAAAGGAAGCCACGAAAACTAGCAAGTGTGTTAACTGGCAAAGTTACACGGGGAAGCAGGCATTGGCACTATTAAAAAGAAAAGGCTAATTAAAACAGAAACCAAGATTAAGCAGAATTTCTCATGTCCATACTTTCAACAGCAGCCTCAACACTCTGAAGTGAGAGGGAAAGAAAGATGGTCCTGCTCCAATATATCCATGTCATACTTAGTCCATTCCTGATAGCTCAGCTGAAGGCAGTCTATCCCCTCCACTTCCAACCTCCACTTATGTTTAGAACATTCCTGCTCCCAAGCCAACTGTCCTTGGGAAAGCAACACATTTTCCAGAACTGCGGACTGCAGCCACCTCAGTGCTCTGTCCGAAACCGCTGCTTGACAAATCCTGTCCTTTAATTCTTTGCAATCTCAATTCTCCCCTTAAATACCTACTACATTTAATTTATACTCATCTCAAACCCAGTGCTAAAGACTCAAAGGCACGGCATGCACAAATGTTAAGTTTCAGTAGGCTGAGTCAACAAACTTGACCTCTCGGCATTAGGAGCTGTACGGTAACTTGTCAACAGCTGTTGAGGTGTGTTAGCACTTTAAGGTGACCTGCAAATGTAAGCTGAAGGGTACTGACTTGAATAATGTGTGTTTAATACCCAAGTAACTTGTATAAAAGGGGCATCTAGCACATGATTATTTTATTAAGGTTGCAGACTTCCCTGAGACAGGACACAAAGTGATGTATTTGAGAATTACCTGAATCACCGTATCAAGCAGAATCCCACGAATCAGGGCTGGCCTTACAAACAAGTAAGAATCAATATTTCTACCTACGTTTTCTAACAAGCACACTGCAAAATAAGTATCAAACAATTCTACAGGGAGAAGCTAAGGCAAACCGCATTTGCCTCTATGTTAAAAAAAAATTAAGAAATTGAACACTTCCAAGGAAAGAATCACCACAGACAGTGAAGCTTTTGAAAGTACTAGCAGAACTCGCTGCAGATTACCCTAACAGCCACTTCAGGAACCAACTGCAATTTTAGCAGCCAATTCTTCTGAGCTAAACAGCCTTCTGCACAGGCCTGTTTACACGTCCAAGAGAATGGCATTTGAAAAGAAATTTTCCTCTTCACATTACAATCAAATACTAGAAAGCAGCTATTTTACTGAGTTTAGTCTGACTCTAATATTAAACAAGGAATATCTGGAAGCAGAGACTTCAGTGATTTGTCACTGCCACTGCTTGGGGTGACAAGCACCCAGAAGCCTTAACTTTAAGCCACAGCCCTAGCTGCTGTACAAACAGAAGAAAGAGACAAGTTCCTGCTCCAAAAAGCTTACAATCCAAGCTGAGTCAGACTACCTAGCCAGATCCTCTCTCAAAAGAGGTAAAAATATATTTCCTGAGCAGCTTCCACTTATCAGTTTACTGACAAGTAACAGTCTTAAGGAAAAAAAGTATAAAGAAGGAGGATTCCAAATGCCACCTTTTTTCTTCCTTTTAGCTCAGCCCAGAGGAGGTTATCAAGTGCAAACATGGTTGTGGGGCAGAAAGCATAAGAAGATGAGGCATTTCAGGATATATCATGTAGCTGTTATATTAATCACTGACAGGATTAAGGCTTCCAAAGCAGTGTAAATTTTCATGGTATTAACTTGTATACTAAACAGCAATAAGGCTACACTGAGGTCGCATGTAAAAAACTGAGAAGGCAAACAATCCTAAGAGACTATACAAAGCTAGGGGAGAAAGCTCATAGATTCACCATTGCATTCCACTTGTTCCAATCACATCTGGATACAGTAACTGCACTGGATTTAGTACATCCCAAACCAAACGTATCTCAACACAAACAGCTTTACTGTCCCTGCTGAAATGTCTATGTTAGAAAAAAGAAAATATACCTAGAAGTGCAGTGAGTTTGGGAAGCAAACCAACTTGTACCATTTTATTTCTCAGGCCTGTGTCAAAGGAGAGATTCAATAACAGTCGAAGAGTGATGTTCAGCAAGTCTTCATGTTCACAGGGTACCATTTTCACAAGTTTTTCAACAATATCCATTTCAACCTGTATATCAGTAAAAAAAAAAATAAATCTATAATCCATCCAAACTCTGCTTTGCCTTCAATGTAAAATCCCTCTCACTGTGTTCTATATTCACATGCACACATATGCAAGTACATATCCAATTTGTACCCATAATAGCGACCATCAGTGGATTTTCATCTGAATCAGCTTTGCTTATGTCTTTTTGGTTGAAGTCTTCTAGATTGGGTTACCGGGTAATGTGCATTAACACAGTTTTTGAACCGAACAGTTCAGATGTTTTGGAAATATTCCTTCACAATTGGAATACTGCAAGAATGTGGTCAAGACATCACTTGCAAGACTAGACTGGGGGCAGGGCGTGGAGACTCTTTTAAACTTAAACACAAGCAACCCTGAAGCAACTGACATTAGAGTCAAAGAGATACCCAACCATGACAGACAACAAATTGGCATTCAAAAAGAATGAGACCTTTCATTATGAATTTCAAATGAACCCCTACACAAAACTTTGCATGTGCTCTCTGAAGAGGCATTCCGTCCTGTACATTAATTTAATAAAAGCATGAAAATCATCTTGAAACATGTATCACTTTCAAATTAAAAAGTGGAATCTAGGAACTGAGAAGTCGTATCAGTTCCTGAGATCATGTTCACTTCACCAGTCAGAAGAGACATCTGAGCATTGACTGGCAAGACTTCAGAAAGTTTTTATCAACTTTTAAACAACACTTCTCTGCTTTTATTCGACATAATCTTTTAAATGCATTCATTTCCATTTCCCAGAACCTCCTTTGGCCAGAAGGACACACATAAAATTACTTTGCATTCTTCAAACTTTAGCGTGTACGTAACTAACCTTCCAGTTATAAATACACACAGAATGAATACGAAAAAAAAAAACTAGAGCTCTCCCCACATGGCATAGCGCAATAATCAAACAACTGACTGAATACCTTTGATCAAAACCAATCAGATAGCAAGAACTCCTACTTCACTGCTTTGAATTTAATATGGCACTTGAATACCAAAGGAAAGAATGTGCTATAAATATACATGGAATATTCAGTTTTTCTTAGAATCAGGTGCTGCACAACTTTTGGTTCATTCTGCCTTGAACATGTTTGTGTTATTCCCTAATATTTATATTAGAACATTTTCTCCTCCATTGGTAGCTTCCTTAACAGTACTGTGGAGAAAAAAGTATCATCTTTATTATGAGTAAGAAATGCTCAGACAGCTGACCTGAAGCGTACAAATCTTTTCAAAAGTCTTTTTAATACTGTTAAAACACTGCAATAAAATAAATTCAACAGTTTTGTTTCACTTGTCTTTCCACTAAATCAAATGGAATGCAGAAAGTGTGCCAGCAAAAATCAGTGGGCTGGAGAGCTAATCCTTATTTTTGTAATAAAGTCCTTCAGGGCACTAAACAAGTATAAACTAAATCAATGACCAATCACCTGATAAACAGTCTACATTCCCCCCAGAACACATGCTTGGCGTCTGACTTTTGTTAAGAAATAGGACACTCACATATAAATAAGAGTGATACCTCATCTGCAGTGTTCGTTTCATGTGCACGTGAATGACAGATCCAGTAACAAAGATGTAATTAATTTTCTATTGCATTTACATGGATCTTTTCACCCCACAATCTAAGCATTGGATAAGGTGAATTTATTTTCATTTCACAAACTGGCATAAAGGCACAGCAGTGAAGGCACATATTGACGGAAAGCCATTGAGAAATCAGTATAGGAGATAGTCGGCTAGAACTTAAAGTCACAAAAGAAAATATGCTACAATTTCAGGAGTTTTGAGACTTCACCTAAAAAAAAGCTTATGAAGAATAACAGTGCCTACAGTTCTTAGGAGCTATTGGCAACATGAAGGAACAGTTGTGAGGTTTGGAGACCAAGCTGACCTAGGAAATAAGTAAACTAGTCTAGCAAACTGCAAAAGGATAACTACCTCTCCTTCCAAGACAATATATGGTAAAGACAATAACATGTTGTCAAAAGAATCTAGGCTGGGGCAAGGGTCATAGACATCTCCAGAAGCGGTGGTATGACGAGACTTTGTAGTGCTGACTTCAAGATCTGGAATTTCATGTATCATATTTTGAAGTAGCTTCACTGTTTGGGATGACAGTTCTTCAAAACTTTTGCAGCATGTTATTGCTGGGTGTTGTATTACTTTACTTTTACTCATTTTACTATTAACAAAACAGGATAGTCAGTGCTACAGGTATTTTGGATGGGGACAGAGATGTCTCCTCTTCCCTCCAACCACTCAGTTTTCAGAGTCCATACCTTTCCAGTATTGCAGCAGAGTGTTATGAGCCTTACCATATCATTTTTGTTCTCCATAAAAATGCTGAGTTTCTTCAAGAAAGATACAACCAGGATAAGCAGCTCAAAATTATCACGGTCCAGTGCTTTCACTAACATATGGACAATGTTCTTGTTTCTCATCTTCAGCTCAGTGCGAGTATCCTCAGCAAGATTTAGAAGCAGGTAAAGTGCAACTAATAAAGTCCAATACAAACCATACCAACACATCAAAGACAAAAGAAACAAACAAGTCTCTATATACACATATTAAGTGCTTAAGACAAAACATTCGGAAGCATTCTGCTCCCTTCCCAATGAATTTTGAAGGAAACTGACCATGAATGTTTTTTATTCCGTTTAGAAAGCATTAAGAATATTAATTCTAATAGTAGCTTTGAAAAAAAAGTATTACGATCACTAGAAGCTTTTTACATTTTTTTTTTCCTTTCAGTTCTAGTGGGAACCATTAAAAGGCCCTTCCCAGGAAAGCTTTGCCACTCAGATCATTTCAATCTAACATTAAGTGTATTTTAGTACAAAAACTGAGTGAAAGCTATTCAACTCGAGTCTGATACAGGGTAAGTTAAAAAAAAACATATCAAACATACGAAACCAAAATACCCAACTCCCCTCAAATCAAGATCATGAGCAAGGAAAAGTTAAATGGATTGCTTTTACTACTTTTCCTCTAAGACCGATAGATCACTTCAAAAATTGTCAGCGTACTGTCAAACGATCTGATAGAGTATTCATCTTCTCCCTGTTCTTTGGCAATGTTCTTCCATACTCATCCACACATTTGGTATGTTTAACACATCCTAGTTATAACAAGCATCCAGTAGAACTCTATCCACATTCACCAACAAAAAAATAATTTGCTATTTGGATTTGGTACCTCTGAGTAGCTGTTCCTGCTTGACAACCAGCCCTTGGTATTTCTTGTAAGTTTTCTCATAGTCCTTTTTCAGGGTTTGATTTTCAGGATCTTCATCAAGTAAATGGTAGAAGTTAAGGTGTTCAGATAAAAGTTATACAGCCTAGATGACTATTGTGCTCAAAGGTGTTACTCAGTCACCAGTACAAAGCAAGAGATCCGTGGAATGGCCAATGTAAAAACACTACCTCAGCCACAGCCTGCTACACCTATTTTTTTCCTCCTCCTAATCCTGGATGTATTGCACCCTGATTGTTAGCAAAAATGTTCCTAAGACATACTGCTAAAAATAAAACATTTTTCTTCCTGTGTTGTTTTAGTAACTTCATCTTAATCTCTTCATAAGCCCAAACTTCTTACTCTTGGTCTCTTTCATTATCTGCTATTATATTTTGCACTGTCTAGTAAATTCTACTGCTTTCACAGAAGTTGCTGTATGGTCATCTCTTATAACTCAGCAACAGCTATCAAGTCAAGTCAGATGCTATCAAGATGACCCAGCATATCAAAAGGATATCAGCTTTCTTCTTTTTAGCAAGTTCTTCCTGCCAAAGCTCATGTCTCTTCAGTTCATGGTCTATGATATTCATGCACAGAGCTCCAATTTTGTAGTGTGTGATTATTCCATGAAATTGAGAAAAACTGCATTGAAGAAAAAAAAGTAAATGCAAACCACTCCAAATCTGCTGGGACATCTACAATAGCAATATCCCAACACTGCACCACATGAACTATTTAAAAAAAGGTATTTACTCTCTGTCCCATTCTAACGCTTCTCTATTGGAAAATTATTTCAAAACAAAAACAGTTCCTGAAAACATTAATATTTTTTTCAGACTTGTAGAAGGAAAGTTTGTTGTTCCAGGTCAAATTAAAAATTTATTCCAATTTTCATGTGCAATGGAAACTGTTTTCCAATCAGCCCCATTTTTCGTAAGTGCTTCAGAGGACTCTCTACTCACCAGAAATATAGTAGAGGTCAAAAATCAAGTTGCAATGCAAATTCCATTGGAATTATTTCTAGTCAGCATACGCTGAAACACTGGCATATCTAAATAAGACCAAGCACTTCAGTTTTAAATACCATTTCCTTCCTATAGGAATGCTGAGGTAAATAAAAGGTGGCAGCTCAGCCTAAGTTATGGGTCAGAATCCCTACTAGTTTCTTTCCAGGTCCACTGCACACTATCTCACTGTGCAGGTTTTTCTTGTGCCTCAATTTTGTCATTTATAACAAGTGTGTTTCTGTCTCAGCAATTTTTTTTCTTGTTTCACTGAGGTTTTTGTAGTGTAGAAAACAAATGAAAAGACACTAAGCAGAGAAGTTCCTTATGTTCCTATACAGAGGGACTCTGCACTCACCTTGAAAAGCAGAAGAAAATATAAATTATATTGGTAGCAAGTTCCACACTTTGTTTCCAGTCTTCCCTCAGCACTCTAGCCAATGCACCCAGGGCAGTTTCTGAAATGAAACAACACTTAGATGATCTAGTCACAAATCCTAAGAAGGGGTAACATGCAAGGAAACTGCAACCAAACACTAAGGTCTTCTTAAAACTACCACTACTCTTAAGATCTTGTGGTCTCTGCCAGCTCTATGTTCTGTATTACACTGTGGCCCCTACATAGAACATCACCATGTTGACTTCCAAATTCCCTTCAAATTCTACCTTAATTATAATTTTTCATCCACTTCTTTGTATTTATTTTTCCCCCTGCATCAACTTTGCATTATTTAATAATTTGGTTTATATTTCTTCTTGTCATACTTCAGCTTATTTCTCTCTGAATCACTTCTGTTTTCCTTTCACTTTTCCCTATCCAGACCCTCTTCACATACACCATGTTACATGATCAAAATGACAAAAGTAGCAGCTGGTAGTTTCAAGCACTAGAATATTCTAAACAGCTCATAGGGAGAAGCCATTATTTGACGGCTTACCATTCCCCTCCCATTCCAATTCTTGCTGACATTGAAGGATGGCTAGAGTACACACTGAAGCCACTCAAGGAATGTAGGGGTATAAGGGTTCAGTAAGAGACAAAGCAGACAGGGTAAGAAAATTACTAAATTAACAAGACCTGAACCTACCATCACTTTGGAGGTCTGGTTTGGCTTGCCCTTATCTTTGTTTGTCTGACACCTTTACAGAGTATAGGATCCCTTTTGCCCCCCCAGAAGAGAGATGGCAATGGGCAACAAGAATGTATATGCATGTACACACATATATTTACAAACACACACTATTCCACACTGAAGTAACTCTGAGAATGTGTATGGCACAGCACATATGTATGCACACATAGAAGGACAGCAATATGAATGTCCTACCATGAATTCTGATAAGATTTTAAAATAGATCCATAAGCAAAAAGAGTATGGTATGTAGTGAAATTCTTGGGTGATGCATCGACATTCAATTTATTAATTCTCTTGGAAACTGGACATTTCTACTTATGTCAGCCTGCACATCCCATTTTCAAAGCAAGTTTCCTGATCTTCAGGATACAGTTCTACATTCTCTTGTCTCCAGCAGCAATGGCAACTGAAGTTAACTTATCATCAAAATAACTAGGATCAGGAAAAACAGTTGAAGCCTACTGAGGCCAGGAAGATTTCTGTGTTAGGCCCACCTAAGAACAGTCTAAGAAGCATCCATTTGTAGAGAGATCCAACTGGGCTTTGACAGCCAGCTTATTATGTACTGAGAAACAAAGCCTAGAAAACTGGAAAAAATCCCAAATTAAACTACTTTTCCCTTGAGAAGAAAGCACCACAAATAAAGCGCACAACATTAAGAGAAGTTACCATTGGGTTTTAAAATTACCGTTGATAAGCAGTTCTTCCAAATTATCAGGATTCCTTGCCAGCTGCAGAATGAGGGCAGAGCCACGCACCTTGTCAGGAATGTCCTCATACAGTAACTCAATGTACTCATCCATGTCATTGATATTGGCAACTTCATCAATCTGAGAAACAGTCATAAGCAAGGGTTTCATAGAAAGAGATGTCAATTCAACACAATCAATCACAATATTACTCAAATGCAAGACAAAAGAGCGCACAGCTTTGAGTTGAGATCTTAGGGAAAAAATAAAATACAAAGAAAAAAAAAAAAATCAACGCATCCAGAATCACTGCCAATGAACACCAGGAAATCTGAGAAGATTTAATTACAAAAAACAAAGGATGCTCAGACAAGACTCCCTGTGTCCTGTCCGATGTTCCAGACCTCAATCGCTGTCCTGCTGCGTGCTATAGTTGGAGGGGGTAGTATGCAAGTCAAATATTTTACCCTTTATGGAGATTATTTTTATTCCATTGTGCAATATTTCCAAACCAAAATCTTTGTTTAAAAAACAAGCAGAAAAAAAAGCTGAGAATTCAGCATTTCCTCACCCCTCCTCCCTTACATAACTGCTTAAGTAGTAAATGGGTTTTACATTTCTCTAACATCAATATTTACCTCCATTCCTTCAAATGGGGGTGGATCTTTTGGCTTACTGGATTTCTCTTTCTTTTCTACAAAGGAAAAGACACAGTTGCAGTGAAGTTATACATACTCACAGACAAAAAACATACCAAATATTCTCACAGTAAACACTCTGGTTAAATCAAGGTCAAAGTCCTTTTATGTCCAGCTGACCTGACAGACTAACACAGCTAAGGTATGTCACATTTCTAAAGCTGAACAGCCCACAGGGAGCAAAATAAACGATCAGTTGCCTTTTGTCTTCTCAGTCTAAGTGATCAGTTACAGCCCAGTCAGCTGGGGACACAGAGGTTAATAAACCTTAGTGAAAAACAAGAGTGACAAAACTCACTTCCACAGTGACACCTTAGCAGGTTTGATTCCACTTGTTTGCTGCCCTGTGATACACCAAGACACATACAAACAGAATAAAAGTGTAAACCACCCAAGCAGTTACAGTCAAAGCATATAAATAACATTAATCTTTGTTTTAAACTCGTTCCATTAAGATAAGAATTCAGCTTAAGAACAAAGCTTACCATTTCATGATCACAAGAAACCTTGCTAACCACAAGGCAATGTGGGATCATACATTAAATATGAAACTGTCTCATGAGCTGGTACTTTAACATGAACTTAAGACATAAATAGCACCACCAGGATGCCAGGAACTTAGAGAATTACTCCAGGCTGTATGTTACACTGTACCAAAGTTTATGAGACAAACTCCTCACTTGAGCATTACAGAGAGCGCAAATTCAGCCTAGGAACACTATCTACCCTTGCAACAGGTGATGGCAGCGATCTTTCTAGGAAGGTTCTCAATACAGACTTTTACGTTACTGAAAGTGCAGAGGCAATATGAAGAAGCTGCACCGAATAGTGGGATCTGTACATCTCAAGCCCTGCTAATGCCCAAGGCAGCCAAGGAATATCAATACTAAGTTTAATTAACCAGAAAAATGAACTTTGATTTTAAAAAGATAATTCCCTCCAATCTTACTCCAAAATTGTAATTTTTTCCAAGCGTGACTTAACTATACATCTTCCCCACCCTATCTCTGAAGAACTCATACGTCAAGCAAGTTAAGACCTCAGCTAGAAGAACGTCACACAGCAGTTGTTCAATGCTGAAGCACCCCAGTCCCAAGCTACTTTGTTTCTCTATTATTTACCTTTTCCTGCTGAGGCATCTCTGCGATTCTGTAGATAGTACAACAGCTGTTCTACTTCTGCAAGTTTGGAGGGGTGAATGAGCTTGCATTCTTCAACAACCTTTCGAGCCAGGGAAGCAACGTCTGTATTTGCATTAAGACTCTTTAGCCGAATGCTGCAAACAGAGGTAAGTCTCTTTAAATTTTCATATATTCGGTCCTTTGATTTATTTTTACACAGCCATGAATTTCTTGAAGCAAAAATGATCCCAATACCCCCAATGCCTGTGCCATGGCTTACAAAGGTAACACCACAGCAGTGGCTCTTTACAACTACAAACGTCAAGTAACTGCCAAACAAATTTGACAGAGGGTAACTGTCCATCAGCTGACAAGCTGCAACATGTAAATGCAGCTGTATGAACAGATCCCTTATAACATCTTAGACACAGCAGCCAGAAATTTATTGCAATACACCCAAAAAAAGTACACATGACTGCAAAGAGTACCACATACACAAAAAGTCCAAAATGAGAAGCAGCTATGTTGACTACACAGGAAGGTTCTTGCGCAGTGCCTGCAGATAGCTCTGGCAGACCTACAGCCAGGTCCACAAGAAACGAGCAGTAAGAAATCTCTGTGGGAATTAACATTAGGATAGATCAAAAGGAATTCCACCTCATTGCAGATACAAGTTATGTTGATTCATCTATAAACTAATTAACACTTCTGATATCTTCAAAAATTTGAGACAATTTAAATATTCTCTTTTTCTTCCTCAATTATTCTTCTTGCATGCACTCACACAGGTAGCCACTTCAGCTCAAATTTTCAAAAAGACTTCAGCATAGAGATAAAATAAATGTAGGAAAGGTCTCATAGTTTGGAAACTATGATAGTTCTCTGGACTTTTCCAATGGGGAATATTCTAATGCTCTTAAAAGAAAAATATCAGGCAAAGCTAAAATATAGATACCATAGTGAAATCACTAGCAGGGGTGAAAGATCAAAACAACAGGAGAGCCAACAGCTAGACCATAAGGCTGTCAGAAGGTTCAATAGTATTATTTGCTCCAATATTTACCATAATTTGATCAGGAACCAATCACTTCACTTTACCTCAAGTTTCCTTCACGTAAAATGGGAATAATCACTTTTCTTTACAAAACACCTTGAAGTATGTGGATGAAAAGCAATTTACAACATGTGTTTTAGAGGTTAACTTTCTTAGGCACATGTTATTCCCTGGCTTCTAAACCCTCTGCTAATCGCACTAAGTTTTATAAAGATTAAAACACATTATTTCTTACAGGCTGTTGATGCTTTCAGTTACTGAATTTATGATTATGAGAAACAGAAAAAGCTTGCTATGACCTTACATTTTCTGACATTCCTTGCGCTCCCCCAGCATGGGATCTCCCATCTCTCCCAGAATTGTTGCTTCCACTTCATAATGGACAATGAGGGCTTTCTCAGATGGATGCACATCTATGTTGCCTCCTTTTACCTTCCTGCCATGAAGAAAAAAACCCACAACTGATTAAATGAAAAGCTCAGAACACACACTGGAACATAGATCAGTAACAATGACCTGTCTCCTGTTCTAATCAGACCCTAAACCCAAGTACTGCCCTCCTTCCACACAGCTGTACCAAAGCTCAGTGCAAATGGCATATTATTGACTATTACCTCTAGTACATTCAGAAATACCCAAGCCATTGGTCAAGCCTTAGTCATATAAATTAAGTAAAGAATAAACAGGATAACTCTTTGATTTCGAAGTCTCCTAGCTCTCTTAAGGAACTACAATTAGGAAGAGGATACATTTCATACAAGGTGAATTTCCTAGTTTACTCCCTGCTAACATTGTCCGTATTGAGAAACTTTCTGCTAAAGGCATCGATCTAGTGCAGTCATTTACAAATGGAAATTTTTCTTCAAAGACCACCTTGGCTAAATATTTAAATCTGCAAGAACTGATTAAAAATAACTTAAATTTCAAATTAATCATTCACTCCTCAAGCACAAAACTATTTGCTACTGTTCTTCACTTCACTGTGTCTGTTGCCAGGCTCAGGAGATTACCAGATCAACAGCTATAAATCAAGCATGTCTACCTGCTTTACTACAGCTACAGATATTTTGGACAAGCTTTCTGCAGGAAAGCACTCTGGGGGTACATCACTGCCAAAAAGGCATGCCCTGCTCTCTCCTCCTTTGTGCCAGCTATTCTGTGTTCAAGCAGAGATGCAAGGGCCAGGAGGATGGGCCATGAATGAGAGGCCATGCAGATACACCTCATTTCTGTTTTCAAGTGATGGCAGAACCACATTCAGAGAATACAGTTACACATTTCTGTCCTTGGTGGTAAAGCTGACATTTACCCCTTTGTCCCTTGGTACTGCCAATAGAGGATGTAGAGTTGTGCCATAAACCAGGCTGCTAAAATGCTGCAGATTAGAAACAACTCCCTAATGTGGGTTTGGTTTCCGGTGTGTGTGGGAGTTGTTTGTTTGTTCTGAGGTTGGGGATTTTTTCAGACAGATCATGTCAATAAACAGATTTATGGGTGGCTTCCCCAGTAGTTGTATCAGCACAAACGAGCCAGCAGCTAGCTACGGTTGGGTCAATTAGATTAGGGAAAACTACCTCAGCCTCACAGTTCTGGAAACATTAACAAATCAGATGCAGCCTTTGGTGTAACCACTTTTCAGAAAATGTTTGAAATGTGTGCTCCCATCTATCCAGCTACTATGGTGGCTGCTTTCCCTTCAGCACTATACAACTGCAAAAAAATACCTTTTCTTGAGCCACTCCAAAACCCCTACAAACCACAGACAGGTCTGCTGCAGGAAATGAAGAGTCTAGTTCAACTACTAGCCCTGCCAGGACAAAGCTACAGGGCAAACAAATATAGCTCACTGCTACAGAGCAGTATCTTTGTTGATGAGATTGTAGCTGAACTCCATTATCACTTAAGATTTTCTGAAGCAACTTGTGGTTTTTTTCTTTAACAGTACTTTGAAGCAGAGACTTCCTTACAGTCTATTCTCTGTTCTTACAAGCTCCAGCCTTGCAGGACAGAAAGCTTACGGCAAATCTATTTCAACAGAAACTGGCTCTCATTCCTCACCCCCAAATATAGTTCCCCCAGTATTTAGACCTACCAGGAGATCCCAACCGCAAACACTCTGCCTGACAGTCAAACCTCTGTAAAGTGACAGCCTGCTAATGTTCAGAGATATAAAGAAAAAGATGGGAAGAGAACGAGTGGGCCTGAAAGAGTTTAGTATAGTTTTACAAGAACTAATCTAAAGTAACACTTCATCATTGCCAAAAGGATTAGATCTTCCATTTCTTTCTGTTCCTGCAGTCACCTTGGTTCAGCATGAAGGCTTGTCAAACCCTTTCGCAGCCACTTCCAGCTATGCAACAGAAAACTCTACATATTTTGGGCAGAGGGAGTTTTTCAACATGTTACCGAATTGAAGTGCACTACAGAAAGTGAGTAACACTTCCTACCTATGAGCAGGGATAAAAAGGAAGGAGTGAGACCTCCTCCTTTTGGCAGGAATAAACCACTGATGAGCTTAGGGACCAGCAGAATTTCAACCTAAGACTGCTTAAATAGTTTTAGCATTTTCCATATTTAATTTTGTCCTTAAGAGGAACACATGGGTAAGCTCAAGAATTTACAGTTGCAGAGATTTTCTGCCCTCTTACATTGATAACAACCCTCACACCACTTGAGCTATTTCCTAGCTAATAGTCACAAATCAATTCACATTTAAGTTTCCTCTCTGAAAAAATTTTACCTTGTGAACTGCTCAAAGAGCTACACTAAAATGCACTACCCAGCCACTAAACTTGCTTTCCATTTAGAAAACACCGCATTCGGACTGCCAGCATCACAAAAAAGAAAACATCTTTGAGAAAAAATCCATGCTCCTCCCTCAAATGAACAGACATCAGGTGATTTTCTATCCATCTTGAATTTGTAAGTCACTTCATAAAACATTTAAAAAGACAGATAGTCTTATAACTGGTAGAAACAGCAGTGCAATGGGGTCCTCTCGCACACATCAGCCCATCCTTTCACTTCACTGCCTGCTTTGTCAACAAGAATCCTGCTCTATGAAAGGTTTAAAAGAGGAAGGCCTTTTCTACAGACAAAAGCTGTGCTAGCTGAGCTCGCATAACCAAAGCTAGTTTGTGAATACCCTTTATTAACTAGTTTCTTCAGGGGAAAAAGCAAAACCAAACTATCCTAATTCCAAATGGCACAAATTGTGCACGTGGATAAGGCTGAAAATCCAGTAACAAATACAAGCAAGTCAGACTTGGTGGGAGGGGGACTGTTCATGCAGGATGACAAAGGGAAATAGGGATCAGAGTACCAGACTTGAGCATGAGCCTAGCCATGTTAAATAGCACAGTGGATGGTTTTTAGTTTGTGCTCTCTAGAAAGGGAGAAAACTACGCTTGTTGCAGTGATGACTACAAAATAAGATTCCTCCAAAATCACAGAAGATGGCACAAACACAATATGCAGGGCTAAAAATAAACATTGCTTTAAAGTTAGTGTCATTTATTTAATTACATGTGGCCACTTGATTTTTACCTGTTACCACATTTATATGACAGAGCTAATTTTCAAAGATTATCACAAGGTTGTTTCCCCCCCATTGTTTCTAATTCTGGGTCTTTAATATGTGGCATACAAGGAGGAAAAAAAATAAGGCAAAACCTAGACAGCCTAAACAGCAAGTTCTGCAAATGCTAATAACTAGAAAGTAAGAACAAAAAAAAAAAACCCAAGAAATCCACAGGATTCAAGTTGTGATGGATAAAAACATCCACATAGTAGGAAAAAATTGACACTGTTCACACATCATATCTTAATAGAGGACTAAATGGCCTGACATCTTTTGGGATTGCTATCACTTTTGCTAGTGGAACAACTGATGGAGAACCTATAGTTGCCTACTCAAACCCCATTCTTTAGGCTGATGGATCTCACCACCAAATATAGACAGATAAAGACACCATTCTTCCATCACATCTTTAACATCAAACCCAGGTCACCCACTTTATTACACCATGGTTACCTCTCAAGTCCATCCCAACTCCCAAACCATTCTATTCATCCCACCTCATTACCTGTCCCCTCCCTGCCAAACTGCCTCCAAATCAGTTAATCTCTCCCAGCTGCACCCTGAACCTGCTCCTTGGTCCCCAGTCTACCTGGTCCCCAAAGCAACCACCTGCCCCATCTCAGCTCCTAATACCCACACAACCCTCCCCACTCATCTACTAATAACATCTACTCTCAACTTGCTGCCACCTCAGTACCTCATCCCAGACATACACCATAAAATGCCACCACAGTCATCCCCAAGTCAGTGCATCCCCCAAACTACCACCTTGCCCCAGTGAGTTACCACCAGCATGCCACTCATTCCATCTCTCAGCCTACCCTAAACCCACTTTATAACCTTCACTCATTCCTAAACCAGCCTCCCAGTCCACACCCAAGTCTCCTACACATCAGACTAGGCAGCCACCCCGCAGCCTGCCCCAAACAAATCTATCTCCCGTTCCCAAACCACTCACCCCAAAGAGTCCCCACCCATCTTCTCCCTCAAACCACAATCTCCAACCTTTTCCAAACCAGCCAGCCCTCAATCCCAATCCCCCATCCACCTCATAATCTCTCATTGCAAAACACTCTCCATTCTCACCTTCCGACCCGTGACCGCCCATCCATCCCCAAACCAAACCTCACTACAACCCGCAACACCTCAGCCCCACACCCATCACCTCCCCACAACCTCTTCTTGCCCCCCTACCCCACAACATCCCACTCAGCCCCCACTGCAGGCTAAAACGCCTCAGCCCCACAGCCTCAGCTCCCTTACAGTCCCCCAACATATGACCACCTTTTCCCCCTGCCCCCCTCCCCACAGCCTCGTACACCCCACAGCCTGTCT